TTGGAAAATGACATGCCATTAATAAAAAAAATGTCAGTGAATTTTTTTGATGTATGTTTCACAAAGCCAGAATGTTAAGCTATTGAACAAAACCTTTTTTGTGTCATATCTGTGATTTGTTTGTTTGCTTTAAAGTAAAAAAGCTGGATGAATATCCTCTAAGTGTGGTGATTCCATAATTTTTGCCAGGGGTTGTAGGTGTGGGAGCGGTTCTCTCGCAGCAATCGGCCATTCTCGCAAGCTCCACCCCTATGCATTCTATTCACACAGGCTTAGCCTGGGGTATCGAAATTATGATATTGGAGACTGAGAGCTCCTCGCTGTTAAGCTGACCCTTGAAGAATGGAGGCATTGGCTGGTGGGGATTAAGCACCCGTTCATTGTTTGGACCGATGACAAGAACCTGGCCTATGTCCAACAGGCCAAGCATCTCAATCCCTGTCAAGCGAGGTGGGCTTCGTTTTTTGGCAGGTGAAGAATAGTTATGGTTTTTCATTATAGCTCTGTTTACTTTTCATATTAAGAGCATGGTATGGTATATAATTTTCAGACTTACTGGAGCATGTTAAACAGTTCTCAAGATTCATGTGTTAATAAAAACCTCCTTACAATACAGTTATTGTTAATTGGAATGTGTTTGCCAGGGCCTAAGAGAATAGCAGATTAGGAGATTGGGTTAGCAGCCTGGGTAAGATGTTTTAAGAAACGGTATTTGTGGTATTTAGGACTGAGGGACTGAGGACTGAACATTGAAGGGACAACACCTGGTTGAGGACTAAATCAAATAGAATGCCTTTATTGTCATTGCACATAGTACAACGCAATTTAAAAAGTCATCTCCTTTGTGGTCAAAGGTAACAGAATAAAACAGAATAAAACAACACACAACAAACAACTCAATAGTAATAAATAAATAAATAAGATGAAATAAATAAGATGAAACGGCAAGAATACATTGTATTGCACAGCCCCAGCATCAAGTGTTTAGTTCTCTTATGACACTTGGGTAGAAACTGTGTAGAAGTCTGGAGGTGCGGGCCTTAATGGACCTGTAGCGCTTCCCAAAAGGAAGCCATGTGAACAGGCTGTTGCCT